CATAAAGGCAGTCCTCCAGACCTGTCTCAGGATACACTGTCACAACAGCACCCGGAGTCTATATGGACAGTGTATGTCCATACTAATGGAATGAAAGCAAGCTTCATTCTCCATTGCCGTTATCTTTCCTGCACACTATATTGACTCGCAAACAGCTATTCATTCTGCACAAGGACAAAGTACGGGGCTCTTTCTACCTAGTGTGTGCGAAATAAAAGAAAGGGCAGCTGTTATAAAATGCTTGTGACACAGCAGTAGCAATATCTGTGTCACACACATGAAAATGCCTGCAATGGCAAGGGCTTCAGATTAGGCCCCAAATGAAACTTTTCAATGTGAATTGTTCTGTTAATAAACTAAACTAGAAGCCATGCAATGCAACCAGAAAAAAAATGATTGTTTTTAAAACTTGGATTTATTAAAGGAGACTTAGCAAATAACAACAGAATTTTTCAAAAATACCTTGTCTAAGAAACAGTTCAGGCTGAGAAAATCCCATTAAAACTCCCACAGATCCATTTAATAAGAAATACTAAAAACAGCAGCAAGAGATTAAATGTAACAAATATAAACAAGATACAGTCGCTGTTAATCCTTTTCCTCCACCAAAAGCTCAAGATGACCAGGTATCCTTCGGTTTTATTTCCCGTAATTCGCTGATGTTCCTACTATCCAGTGTAAATGAACCAAAGAGTAGACTGGGGCATGGCAGGCTATTTCTGTGTAATACAACACTTTGTACCAGCTCACTACCTATGAACGCTGACAAAAGATAAACTATTTCAATGTTGCACTGGTTTGTCTTTTTTCCCAAACGACTGCACAAATAGAGATGGACAATGTCTAAAGCAGAATACAGTCTAATTATTTCACTAATATTTGCATCTTTTCCCTTGACTTTTCCCCATGCCATTTTAAAGCTATTATTTTCACTTTTGTCTCCAGCCAAGTTTCCATAAGGAGACATTCACGCATGCCAGAGCAGCAGTAAGGCAGTCAAAAGAGCAGCAACTTCAAAGAAGTGTTATAGAAAGTATCACAGTCAAAAGTAACAGGGAAACGAGAATAATTATAGCAGTGTTATCAACCTTTGTCCTACAGTAAATAAGAGAAAGCAGCTCAACTGAAAAGGACACCTGCTTTATAACACTTTACAGTAGAAAATAAATTCCATTTCCTACCCTTTTTACTATTTCAAGGAGAAAGAAATTGATTTATTTGCTTGACACAAAAACCAGACTTGCCAAAAAGCCCGTACTTCCTCAGCATGCTGCAGAGGCAGGGCCCTCAGCACCTGGAGACAGGAACCACACGTCCTCCTTATGTAACTAGTTTTGACTGCCTTAAAAAGTAGCCATCCTCGGCGCTTTGGAAGAACAAGTAGATAGGTTTACACCGCAATGCTGCCTTCAATGCAAGTTTTTCCAGAGGAATACAGTTGGAAAAAAAGAGAAAATCCTTTCCTGAACTTACTCATATGCTCACAGAGCTCATTTCAAAATTTAGTGGTTTATAAATCTAATGTTTTATAATACTTTGTTTCATAAAACTCCCAAGTTTAAAATATTGTAAACCACAAAAAAATTAATGCACAGTGCATTAAACATAAA